GAGTAATCAAAAGGAGTATAATTTGCTTTTTCTATATAATAAACATACTCATACAAACAGAAATTTTCTTTATATCTTTTGTCTTTCTTGTTAATAAAAAAGATATAAAGAAAATTCTTGTGGTGTCACAGTGTGCCATATAAACTCTGGTCAATGAGTCACTCTCCCATATAAACAAGGACAAAGTGGTATTAGAAGCCATCATGACCTGAGGCTATTCTTACCAAGCAGGACTCCTCAGTTACACGTCCTTTAAGACTTTAGATTTTTTTTATTGACTTTTAAAAAGGGATGAATTTTACCATTTAACACCTCAGTAACTGAGTGGTCACATTGCTTGAAGAATCCACCCGAACCAAATGGACATAGGATTTACAATGAGTTAAGTCAGAGTCTATGGCCAATGAACCCAGTCACCATGAAGAAAAGTCAGAGCAGCATTACTGCATTTGGCTAATACTGCTGGAAAAATGCTGGGGCAGAGCTGTGATAATGAAACGACTAACACATTCAAGTGCCATTGCATTAACCGTTACTGAGAGAAGTTCTACACTTAGTCATGTTAAATCTATTTTCATTTTTTATTGTCATTATTATGCATGGAGAACACATTTTGTATTGAAATAATTTCAAAACTATTATAGAACCTTAGGGTTTTGCCATTACAAAAAGAGTAACTTTTTAGAGTACTGTGCAGTGTCCATTCACCATGTGTTCCATTTCTACAAAACAATGAGAAAGACCAAATATGATTTTTTTTTAAATTACCAAATGTTACAAACCTATAAAACATATTAAAATAAATTTCTAGTAAAGTAAAATATCAAAATTCCAATGTGTTCTTCTGACAGCCTTTATGACAAAATAAATTAACTTCAGCATTCAATAAAATGCTTCTTCAATTCCCAGTTAAAGGTCAAAGATGCAAAATAACAGAATCAAACTTACCAGCTGAACTCCTCAGTGTTATTTTAAGTACTTTTGAAGCATTTAATCTGCACCTATACACAGATTTAAAGGCTTTTTCCTACAATATCCAGGGTGCTGAATGAATTTACAGCACTATGGTTTTAGCTTCTGAACCCCTTTCTCCAGATGAATCATTAACAGAGAGAGAGGGGTAGGCCATTTCCTTCAGCAAATGAAGTTTGCTCACAGTTCACTCATCCTGAACTTACTATTACCACAGCATTACAAGAATCCAGTCATGTTAACCAACTACTTTAACTGACAAGCATGAGATAGTGACTTTATTTCTGTTTGCCAGCTTTAATATTTATTTTAAGTTGTGTATCTTCATTTTTAATTTCTTTAATATGACCAATTTAACCATTTCCACATCTAATGTGATATACTTCTCACCTCATGTCAATTCTATTTAAGTCCAAAGTGTCGCAGTGCAATATGGCCATACTAATTTATCAAAAAACCCACACTGAAAATTTCTTTTAATCCTCAGTCACTCACTGTGCCTGCATGTGCTTGACATCCAGGTTGTTGCTGCATTCTACTAGCAGAGCTGCAGCATGACACCTGTAATCCCTGGAAGCAATGGACTGCACCATCATGTTCCTCAAACACTAATTTGTCTTCTTACGCTCTAATGAATGAGTCTCTAATATGTTGCTGAGCAGGCATCTCCTGCTGGGTTTATGGCATGTTGACTTATAGTATCTGTGTCCATGAGACATGGGGCACACGGGAGTTCCTAGAAGGTTAAGGATAACAAGCTTACCCTCTAAATGTACTTCCTTATTTGTCTCATTCAACTTCAATAACACTTGGTAGAGATTTTAATTAAGTAAAAAACAAATGTGGATGGCAACATGTAGGTATCAGTATGTTAGAACAGTTTAACCAGCAACAAATTCAGAAATTCTAAAATATGAAAACACTGCCCTCATGTGGAGGATGAGGCAGATCAAACAAAAATAATCAAGATTTTATATACCGAATTGTTTTTAAATCTTACCAAAAGGAATTCCCCCCAAAATTGTCATATTAACATTGTTTGTACAGTTTTTCCAATGGATACAAATAACTCTAAAGTTCATGTAAATATAAGTACAGAAAAGAGAGAAAAACCCAGGTATTATGAGCCAGGTCTGAACAGGTTTCAGGATCTTGAAGAATTTGCCAAAATAAATGGTTTGTCAGTCACTGAGAACTTTAAGACATTGTTTGAAATGTCAGTTGCTTCCACAAGCAAATCATTCTGCTCCTTTTTTTGCAGAAATGTCATGCATTTCTGAAATGTAACAATATGCCAAAAATGTTGACCTGTTCAAAGTTTACATTATCTACTCTGGACCGGGACAGATCAACAATCTAAGGATTCTTGCATTTGTGTGAAAGAGCCAGCCACTGTAAATAAGGATTTGACAGCAGTTAACATCCTGATGTTGCTGTTTGTTGTCCTCTCTGGTTTCATAAAGGCAGACATCAGAGAAGACTCTCTCCTAAATGGAGCTAAGTATGTACCATTAATAAAAATCATGGTTCCCCAACCACCAAATAAATGTCTCACTACTACTACTGATGTGCCAAAATTTTATTCCAGGCTGTTACAGTTAAGAGTGGCAAGGATTTTGCATTTTTCCATCACTTTCTAATGTAAAGTATATTTTTGTATTGTGAATGTAAAATAAACATTTTCTTTTAAATAACCCAGCCTCGAATTTCTGCCTCGTCTTCGTTTCTACTATCCATACAAAATAATGACTGTCTGCTCCCATTCCAATTGAACAAAATGTCTCTTTTATTTATAATATGATAGGAACAAATCAACTGTCTTTGTTTAAGGAGGCATACTTTAAATAGCACACCTTACGAGCCCGTGACAGCCAATCAGAGGGCAGACAGAGAACTTCAACCAATTACTGGGTCGCTCGCAAGGGGAAGCGCATTGTTCAAAAACCAAACGCAGTTGGGTAGGAAATAACATAGCAGAAGCTCGGAAGGCTAGGAACACAAGGATAAGGACTAGGTTAATGTTAGTAGATTACAGGTAGCTTGATCTGATACAGTTTAGACTCAGCATCTCCAATTTTAGGTAAGCCTTTCTGAGATTTAACAGTTATCCAGTAACTCAAGATAATTTAACCTAGTTACTGTAATCCAGGCGCTCCCCACGCTTTCGACCTTAGAGGTAAGATAAATTAACTTTTGCTCAGTGCTAAACAATAAACCCCATCAGCGTTAGTCACAGTGAAGTTGTAATTATACATACTGACTAACTAAAGGTTTTATGCTGCCGTTAGTTTACTGGGAGTGGCTAAGTTAAAAGATTTGGTAGTGTTCAAAACAAGGATAACGTTGTAGCTTGTGTGTTCATGCGTAACGTTAAGGTTAAAGCTAGCGTACGTCATGTTGCGGTTAGCGTCGGCTAATATAAATGACACCGAACTAACTTTTTAATGTTGAGCTAAGCTGGGAAGAACGTTGCACTTACTGCCATTGTAATTGGTTAACAGTTGTTTTCTATTTCTCATACGTTTCATTGAACTGAGGAACCAGTAGCCATACCTAAAAGCAGCATTAATGTTAATGGGGCCGCACCGTAAATCGTTTTGTGAGCGTGATTTACATTACATCCCTATGCGAACTCAATCTCACAATGAAAGGGAAGGGGGATATAACTTTAGGGGTCACTTAAACTTAAGAGTTCATGCTATACGTACAACCAAAAAAAGATTTTGTATTTCTATAAGTGGGGTCAAATTATGGAATAAATTAACTGTGGACATGAAAAATAGTACTAGAATTGAGGAGTTTGAATATAAATATAAATGTATGTGTTATACAAGATAT